GCACACCCCCCCACCCCACCTCCCCACGCTGCTCCCAGGGGCAGCCCCTGAGCAGCGGAAAGCAACAAGTGCCCAGCCCCGGCGGAGGGCACACGGTTTGAAAATTCTTTGCTGAAATAAGGTCAGGTGCAGCCCTGTTTCTGTACTCGGCACTGAACTTCAAGTATTTGTACATACAGATATTTTGGAGAGAATGCGGAAAAGCTGGTGTGAATAAAAGGTTGCAAAAGCGGGGACTAGAAATCCCACATGAACTGGTACAGCCACTTCCAGCTTCAAAAAAAAAGATGAAGGCACCTCGACTAGGCAGCTGGGACTGTCTTTGCTTCATTATTGTACAGTACTAACACATCAAAGACATAGGTTTTGCTATTTGAAATACATTCTTGCCAGTATTACTGGTCTCAAGAATACAATTAACAAAAGAAAACCCCAATACTGATAGTAAACTGGAAGAAACTCCTGGTAAAGTCACAGTATTTCCTTCTTTTTAATCATTTTGAGTATGCCTGCGTGAATACCACCATCTCTACCCAAGTTGTTCTTTTACTATAACACTGGTAGGTCTAGCAAAAAAAGTAAAAAGGAAAAAGTATCCTAAAGAATTAGCATGACTATACCTTAGTGCCCGCATCAGTAAAATTGTTCAACACCTAAAACTGGCATGTGCTTCCAAGTGTAAATATGCAACCCCCTGGGCTAGAGATGCCCATGTTCTCTGATTTAACTGAATGGGTTGTCAATTTTTCTAAACCTGCCTGAAACTAAGAGTATTTTAGCATATGCACACCTCTGCCTTAGAAAGGGACTTGTTAAGTGGGTGTTGAATAGATGTACTACTGTAATGGTCCAATTTCAAACACCATTAGGAAAACACAAGCAATTGTTTTGTTTTTCTGGTTGAAATACAGATAACTCAGAAATTAATTTTACGTTACAAAGTTTTGCCTTTACATTTACATTTGAAGTTACTTTTGTTCATGAACAGCAGGATTCAGTTGCCTAAATGTCTAATAGGATAGCCAAAATGGGTATGGCAGGTGTGACAACCTACAGAAGACTTGCCCTCCTCTAAAACAGCATCGGGACATCAGATGGAATGCCAAAGAGCATCAAAAACAGCACCAAGCACCCCTGTTTATGTACCAAAATCAAAATAAATCTCATTTTGCACTACACAACTATAATTTGCAGTTAAATACCAAGTTAACTTTTTTTTTTTTCTTCCAGAATTCTTAAAAGAGTCTTACTCCTGGACTCCCACCTCTTTAGCACAGAACTCTCCCACATTTGACCCTCCTCCCCTTTTTTTCCTTTTAAGGAGTGAACAACAGAATAGTGGGGTAAAGCTGTCTGTAACACGCCATGCACCGAAGTAAATATGGTATTGAGAACGTTCTAATCGGTTCTTCCAGCTCTAGCATTCTAATGAGAAAATAATTTCACACTGATCAACACAATTAAGAAATGAGAGGAGAAAATACCCAAAAAAGGTAATCACCAAACAATACCTGGGGAAATGGTGAGAGTGAACCTCTCAAGGTGATACATCAGAAAAACAGAACTACAGAGAGATTAATTATCCCTTTCTTCAACAAAATCCCATCTGTGCTGGATTCTGTCTTCTGGAGTAATATCAAGGGAAATCTCAAAAACAAAATGAGCATAAAATAGCAACAAGCAACAACAAGGCTATTGCCAACAGCGTGACACAACATTCAACATCAGACCCAACATGCAAATTTGCAGAGCGAGGCAGCAATTACAAGGAAAATCAATCCAAAGCACTGGTCAGAAGCACAGAACAAAAAAACCCCACCAAGACACCAAGATCACAGGAATTCAAGTATCAAAAAGTACAGTAGTGAATCACAAAGAATGCACAAAAGCCAAAACACCGCTCTGTATATCAATTGAAACTGTTTATACTTGATGGGGAAGTAACACAACACACACATCACACCATGATACCTAGCAAACAACCAGAAATGCTCCTTACCCTTCAGAACACAAAGATTTCAAAGAATTACAGAGCTGCTCCGCTCTCCAGGCAAGAGGCAAACAACCAAAGCACAATGCTTGGCAGATGGCATATTCAAAAAGGTGTTCCTTAATATTACTGTTGTTGTTAGAAGTGACACCAGAGTATTTTAAGCAGTTTTTTCACAGTTTTCTTTCACATACACCTGCCTGATGTTAATATTGACGACTTGAGGATAAGTGGTTACGTACACTGGGATCAGTGCCCATCCATGTGGCTGATGTCCTGCAACTCTTCATCTGCCGGAGACTAAAGAGCAGAGAACAAGTCTGATGAGGAAAGCTTCATTCTTTGTGAAACTTTATTCATTTCAATTTAAGCAGCATGAGTGCATACCTTCCAGATAGCTCTTCTCTTGCCAGCACCATGTATATTTGACAGGATTGCCTTCCCTCTTTCTCCTGTTCCTTTTCAAAGGAGTGGTGGAATATCAAATGGAACACTCAAATTCTGTGATCACTTTCAGGTTGGTAAACAGAGCGAGAGGTCAACAACCACCAGAGTTTGTTAAATTATGGCACTACTGGAGGCTAAGAAGTGACAGGAACAAAAGCAATTCACTGACAAATTTCACTGACACATTAGGATCTGACTTTCTGGGGTCAAAACACTTTAAACTGATAGACTGGGATCTAAACAGATGTGCTCACAGCCTTTCTGTATGTTTCTGAAGATAACAGAGGGAGAACCACATTCACTTATTTCTGATAGAAATTTGAAAATAACTGGGTGATAGTAGGATGCTTTTACTTAACATGCCCGTGGAGAGAACAGCAGGTGAGACAAGTAAAAGCAACAGCATTCTTCCATGCTTCATCCCCCGGTGATGCCAGAACAAGGTGCTTCTTCAAGCTGGCTGTACAGATGTTACCAATATGAACATTAGCTTCCTTGGGCTTTATTCAGCAACAGAATTCTCAACACTGATATGTACAAGCGTTGTTCTAGGCTGTCTGCAGTCTCAGAAGCCATTGTAAGGCATGTTTGCAAACAGTCCACATTCAGAAGATCTTTGGATTCTTTTTAATGAGTTTTGGGGCCAGTGATTTCAACTATCCATGAAAAATTCCTCTGCCAGCATTAGATAATTTAACAGTTGGGAGATATGCCCTCAGTATGTGCTAGGTCCAGACTTAAATGCCCACGGGAAGTAAACCTAGTGAAACTTACACACTTTGGATATTTGGTTACATTGGGGAGAAACAAAATAAACCAAAACCAACCAAACAAAAAGGGCATTGTGGCTGAAGATTAGAGAATACCAGCTAGGATGACAGCTGAGTTACAGAGCCAAGAAAAACTGCCAGCTTTGGAGCCACCCTTCCTTTTTTGTCCGGCAGGAAGCTGTACCTATTCACTAAATACTTGCAAGGAACAGGAAGCAAAATGAGGTCTGAGTAGGTTTCTGGATTCTCTACTAATGTACTTGCATAGGAAAGCCAATACAGCCTGGGCACATCAGAGTTGTGAAGAAGAGCATGGAAAGTGCCAGGATGCAGTTAAGTCATGGAGCTGTTGCAAGGAGAGCATTCTGATTTATATAAAAGAAATGCCGTATTTTCACCTTTCCAAAAACCTTAAGATTCTGGATTTGTCTTACAGTTTCACATATTACCCAATACTAAGGACAAGAATCATTTAACATAAATGTTAAAATAATATGCTTGAGACTTTTTGGAAAATGAGCAATCTATCCAGGACTTCAGTATCTTTAATTTGTTTGTTAGTGGCAAGGTAGTCAATTTTCTATGGCTTCATTTATTTTCATTATTTACAAAAAAATACAGTTACAAAGAAAGCCACTGCATTTTTAAAGGCAAACCCTTTCAGCTGTTAAGATCAACAAGCCAACAAAGGAAGACAAAGTGAAAAAGAAACAAGCGACATCGGAATGGGCTCATAAACTGAGGTTGCTACATTAGTAGTACTTCAGTATTTGATGCATCTTGGGATAGCAGAAAGCCAAGTGCCTTGGTTACGTTTGTACAAGGGTGCCAGCGTCTGCAAGACTAAACGTGTGTGCCTGAGAATAGAACCTTTCCTTCTACCTAGTTCTGCAGGTAATTGATGGAACTAGAATCCAGGTTCTTAGTACACAGTTAAAAATTGTAGGTAACTTGTTTTCTTTCTTTAAATATTGACTCTTTAAGGGGGAAAACAAAGCAATGTCAGTCAGGGGACAGCAGGCTCCACATGCTACAATGCCCTGAAGAATCTTCATAATTACAATTAAGAGGAATTCATGGTCCTGCTAACACATCGAACTGAGAACCACAGCTCACCAGCGTGAGAAGGGAGATCACGACACAGAGAGGAGCAAACATCACAGATAAAGGCGTGAGACAAACGGACACCGAGAAGCAAAACCCGTACCTGGCAACAGCCGTCTTTGCCAGGCCTTCCTGAGGAATATGACAAAAATGCAAGCCCTTCCCCCCTTCCCCTTCGATAAGGATTTAAACCATCCTCATCCTAGGAAGCAAACAAGGAAGAATAATGATTAACATCCATATTTGTCATTTCTCATGCTGAAATTTGAGGAGAATTTTTTCGCTCTCGTCAGTTTCTTCTGAGGAAGGGCAGCTTTTTGTGTAAGTACTTCCCTTCATTTACAGTTAATCACAAAAGAACCCTGTGTCCTGACAGATGTGCAACCATTTAAGCAACATTTAGAAGCAGCTATGTGAACTGTAAAATCAGGTATTCACAAAAAGTTGTCATCAATTACACAGTAAACAAACTGGATCTAATACCATGTTTTGTTCATAATTATTGTTTATACCTTATCTTTGCAATAGCCATAACTATTAGAAAGCACTGAAAGTTCTTTCCTCTGTGTCCCTGCCCACAAGGTCTTACTGATCTCTCAGCATTCGGATCATCCATTGATCATGCAGCATTCCAAGACACTTCATATATAGGAAGCACTGGTACTTAGTATTTCTGTAAAAGAGATCAGAATTAAATCAGTGGCATGACATACACTCCCCAGTATGCTTGCTAATGAAATAACCTGTATCTAATCAAACTACATTTATATATTTCTTTTATTAGCATCTGAACGTCTGTGCTGCTTCTGAGTGTGTACTCACCAATAGCTTTGGGAGATGATTTTCATGCAAGTAACTGAACGTATTAAGACTTTATGCACATAAACTGAATCAGGTTTTGAAATATTTAAAAACCTTTCCACACGGTCAGCTAGAAAGCAGCAACATTTCATTGCTATTTTTAATATGTGTTTTTTTAAACAACTGAACGAAGTTTCTGTGGCCTAAAAAGGAGGGCCAAAGAAATCACAGGATTACTGTGGAAGACAAAACATGGCCAGACAGGGCCACTTAAATTTCTCTTGACCCTGCAGTGATCATTTGCAAGTAACCCACAGACCAAAATTCTCGAAGGAAAAGTCCTCTATTTTCCTTCCTACATAATTTTTCCACTGAGTTAATGTCAAAACAACTAGGAATGTGGGACTCTAAAATACACATGCACACACATACTTCTTGGCATACTTAGAAAAATTTTTCTACTCATAAAATTATTTTTTGTAGATGTTACATGGGGGGAAAAAAAAAAAAAAGAACACCTCAGATGGTTAAATTAGGTTGCAGGCTCTGATATAATGCATGACTGACAACAGATTTAATTCTATGATAAAAATACACAGGTAATTTTCTCACCTTAATTAAGGACAGTCAAAGCACATCGCAACTCCTTTTTATTTAATTTTTCTCCCACTTACACTAAAGGTCCCACCTTTTAAATATTTTTCTGCAGGTGATACATATGTCTTTCTGAACTGTCAGTTTTCTTCCTGTAAGAAGAAAAAGGTTAACATTTTACATGACGATTTTTTTTTTTAACTCCATTATGAAGAGAAATGCCTGTTTTTTACTCATCATTTATATCAATTATTGGTGCCTCCTGTACAGAAATAACCCAAAAGGCTCATTTACATAAACTAACTGTAATCACAAAATACTGATCTATCAAGATCTGGGCCGGAAAGACATTGATAGTTGACTAACCCATTTAGCAATGTTGAAGAGGCTGATTTTTCAGGCACAGAAAAGTCTTACAGTGTGTCTACAAATCATTCAATTGTTGGGGCAGGGGAAGTCTCCTATAACACTCGGTTATATAAATGTTTTCATAACTTCTGGAATAAATAATAGCATGAGGTACAGAGAAATGACATTTGTACATGAAACCTATCACAGCACCTTTCCATGAAGCTTCAGTAAGTTTGAATTATCAGTTGGTAGAGGGAGGGGAACAGAAACCCCAGGGTCTAAAAGGAAAGGTGCTTTCTAAGAGGGAAGTACTAATAGAACTACTAACAGTCATATTTTTCATGCATCGGTGGAAATTTGATTGCATTATTATTCAGGATATAGTTTGGAAAATTATTGTCATTTTAAAAAGTTTACATTGTCAGTAAATGTAAGAAGACAGCTGCTACATGGGAGTTAGCACTCTCTTCTATTACATTACAGAAGTTTTCAGCATGACTGGAAAGCAATAGCTTGATCTTTCACAGTATTCCAGTGCAATCACAAGCCCTGCTGGCATGAAAAAGCTGTATTGCTGAGATGGGCACAGAGCTTTTAGGCATTTATTTTTTCATGTCAGCCATATAAATTCCCTTCACTGTACAGTGAGTTAGAACCTAGAATTCCAGTAATTCCTTTGCCAGAGCCGCAGGGATATCTCCATACTGACTGCAGGGGCTGTTCTTGGGCAGCCATCCCTCAGTTTGGTGAAAACCCTGTTTATATGAATTGTAGTATCTAAGTGTAAATGACTCAGAAAATGAATAAAGCACTGCAACATTTATCCAGTCTAGAATGAAATTAGCAGGTATGTAAAATTCCTGAAGAAAACACCCTTATAGTAAAAGGTGGTTTTAGGCTTTTTATTAGTTCACATCTTTACTTAGTGACATACATACTACCAACTTGAATTATAATAATTTGTACTCAGTACCAAGATACAAGATTATATAATATATATGCACAGGTATGTTCTTAATGCATACCTGATACTGTCTCCCCTCTGCATAATGTGCATAAGGCTTGAACAGCCAAATTTCTCATATTGAGGTCGCTGGTTAGAAAAATGGTGTCTTGCTGGATCTGGTCTCCTTTATGGCTGAGGATGCATGGCACTATGAAAAAGAGGAAAAAAAAAAAAAAAGAGGTTATTAAAAATATACCTAATAATATACTTCAAACTACTTAAAGTGTTAAAGTGAAATACAAAAATAAAGCTCACTACTGCATGCATGACATTGAGGCAGTAACATTAAGACATCTAAATGTTCTTTTAACTTCATTTTACTGTCAAGCCCTCATCCTGCAAACATAGATAAAAGGGAATTTAAAGCAGCAGCACGTTCTTTGAGCTTTCTCCCCCCCCCCATTACATTGAACAGTACCATAACATGTAATTTTCTATATTGCTATGATTATTTTGAAAATGTTTTAAATTCACGATAGGAGTATCTTCAGCATTTTCAATGTTTATGTTTTTAAAAATCAGACCTCCCCAATGGACTGGACTGTCGGAAAGGTCGTTCTTCCTGCAGTAGAACCCTGCTACTCACAAGGACAACGTTCTGCTCTCATTTAGCTGCCTCGTGGTAAACAAGTGCTCTGCAAAAGTTGCGGCTAGAAGCTGCAACAGTTGGCTGGTGTTAGTAAGGAGGATTAAAATGTGGAAGCACATCTAAGGAAACCGCATTTCTAAAAAGTAATGAAAATGAATAAATTTGTAATTATTAGAGGAAAACCACAAAAGCCTTTGGATAAATCAGTATTTTAGGATTTAGCTTCAGAAACAAGAGAAACACACAGACGTTTTGGTGAATAATTTAGTCCTGTGTGCTAGTTCACATTTAGTAATAATGTACAAAATAGTCCTAGAATTCTTGCAGCAATGCTGTTAAGAGTTATGCAAGCTGGAGGAGAATAAAGAAAAAATTCAGAACAATAATCTTTCTATCAAAGACTCAAGCCACAAAATGTATGTGAATAATCCAAGCAAAAGCTTAGCCATTTACTAGATCTTTGTCAGTTGCTCTGCCACTGGCAAAGCTACAAAGGCATTCTTAAATCTCCAAACCAGAGCATAAAGTGAAAATGAGCAAAAAATATAGAAAAACAGCAGCATACCTCTAATTCTCTAATTGACTTGGGGTTGGGACATCATCACAATCTTGTCTTCTCAGTCCACCTTTTGGAATTTGTCCAACCCAGTCATCCTAAGGTAAAGGATCAGGTGGTTATGCAGAGCAAAATGACAACAAATTACCAAACCAGCTCACCAGGCACAGAATGTTACAAGTTGTCTTTGGTGGAAAAAAAAAAAAAATGTGTAAACTTATTTATCAGTTAAAAAAAAAAATCATTATAGACACATTTTCAAATGTATAAAATCAATTTATCTGAAAGACTCAGTAGAAAAAACCTCTTTACATATTTGGATAATGCAGAAAACACACCTCTAGGATAAAACAGAACCCACCTTGGTAAGTCTCTGCACAATTAACTAAACCAGGTATTAAGGGTCTTATCAAGGCCTGGAAGTTTTGTTGAGTCTTCTATGATTAAACATTTCAGAAAGCTTCCACTCCGTAAATACAGAGGATTTACCAGCGACTTATGCAAAACTGAGTGAAAAATAAACTAAACACAGTGATCAGCCATTAACATCAAGTGAATATTGTCGTTTAAAGACTGGCTGCTGTTTTGCCAGAGGAAGAAGGAAAAGAACATGAAGAAAGAAAATATTCTATATTGTTCATAAGTGATGTGCATTTGCTAGAGGTGTCTTTGTTCAAACCTATAACGACCTGAAGTAATTTTCAAAACAAGGAACCCTGAGGAGAGAAGCCCGTTCTGGGAAGTTCCTCTGCAGGAGCTGATGCTATCCGATGCAGATTTCGGTTTCCTCCTTTGCCTCTCAGCTTTGGCGAGGGCTCTGCAGAGCCATACGTGCACTAGCCCGCCTTGCTGGCATCAAAGCAAAAGCTCAATTACCAACTGGCTTTTTACAAGCTCACTTTTTCATGCCCACCACATGTAGAGAGATAAGGCAGGCAGAAACGTCCCTCGCACTGCCTCTGGGCTGCAGCCTGCAGCATGAGAAAGTACCAAGTATTGCAGCCCTTACCCAAAGCAGTTCCTTTCACAGTAGGTTTTCTTCCCTAACAAAGTGTGCAGAATTTGGTCTAATTCACACCTTGAAAATGGTAGCATCAGTTGAACCAAGTTCAGAATTAGTTAAAAATTAAACAGCACCATCTCCTGGTGAAGGTAGGCTCATGCCTCATTGCTTTTCCCTACTGCATCTCCAAGATATTAATACTTTACAAATATATTTAATAGGAAATAATCTATGAGACTATTTTTTTAGACAGCCTACAATGTCTTCTCAGACACTACACACTCCTTAATATGCAAAATAATCACTTAAACTACTGAATGAGGAACACACACACACACAAATATATATTTCCTTTCAGGTTTCTTTATATTTCACATTTCCCATTCTGTTTTTGAAATCCATTTATCCATCTGTTCTTGTGATACCCACGAGTTTAAGTGATGATCTCTACTATAAAGAAGTTCTTGCCTAATGAAGCAAATGGGCACAGCAGAGTGCTGAAAAGGCAGCGTCTGGCCCTTTGGGCACCGAAGTTCAAATCCCAGCTCTGTCACAGATCACCTCTGTAATCCTATACATGACTGTCTGTTCTGTCTCACAGGAATGTTGCAAAGGTCCCAATTAAATATTTTGTTACAAAGGTGTTGTAATTTAATTTCAGATTTGATTTAGGCAGTTCCTCCTTTCTAGAATAAAGTAATAAACCAGGAAATGGTTAGATATTCTAGCCCCAAACCTAACTCAGTTGTAGGCACTGAAGTTTAAACAACCATGGCTAGAACTCTGCCAGCAATGCTTATGTTATGCACTACCAGCAGTTAGGTACTATTATTCATAGATGATGCAGCTGAGACATGACAAAGATAAACAGCACATTTGGTACAGCCATATCCTTCTGATTATCTACACTGATTCCCCCACCCCCTCCCTCCAAAAATGTCATTGGAAGTCATCACTCAACACAAAAAGGCAAGAAGGTCACACTATTGCAATTTAACCCATTCTGTGAATTTTCATTCCACTTCCAATTGAATAAAATGTATTGGAAACAAACACTTCTAATTTTCATGAAGTTTTCATTTTAGACTCTGGGCCTGCAGAACTGCATGGCATTTATTCACAAAGGGTCAGATTCTCAGCTACTACCACCTTGTTTGTCTTAATTGATTTGTGCAATTACACTGCTCTGCACCAGCTGGTGGCCACATACATCTCCATTACAAAAATAAGCCTGATTTCTTGTCTCTAAAGTAAACAACATAGATCAAAGCTTTACTAGGCCTC